AGGAGCGATCCTGGCCACCGAGGCGCTGCGCCGCATCCTCGGCCGGGTCCAGAAGGCGGGGGGGTAAGGGACAGAGCGGCGGCCCGGGACGGCTACCCCGGACTTTATAGCAGCCTCTGGCCACACCCCCAGCGCCTTCCCAGAGGTGGGGGATCAGGCGAGGGAGGGAGGGCGAGGGGGAGCGGGAGAGGCGGCCGTTAGGGGGAGGGGGCGCTCTCCTGAGTCCCCGCCGCCGCCTCGGCTGCAGCTGAAAGTCCTTTTCTGCCCAAGAAGGAAGCGGCGCAGTTGGGAAGCCCTGATAGGCGCCGCCGAGAGCGCCGCCGAACCAGAGCCCGGGAGGGGAGAGGAGGGAGATGGAGAAGCGAAGAGGCCCCCTCCCCCAACCTTGGAGGATTCATCCCGACCCACAGAGGTGGCCTCAGGCCCCCCACTGAGAGCACACCCTTGGACTCCGACTCCGGGTGGGCTCCGCGGATTCCGTCTCCCTGGCCAGTCCTTCCCACCCTACCCCAGTGCTTCCAGTCTCAACCAGTCGGGTGAGGTGGGGGGAGAAGTACAGGCACACAACGAGGGGCCTAGAAGGGCCTCGTGGCCCTAAGACGTTAGTAGACTCTCTTCACACTTGCCCCTTCCAACCCCCTTCCTCTGCCCGTCTCCCAAGGTGCATGTGGGTCCTGGTCCCCTCTGCCTTCCCCATGGAATCACTGAACTGGGGAGGGAGGTGCCAGCCTCTTCCTCCCTCCCGGATATTTGCTTTTACTGCCCAGACCCACTCCTGGGGAGGGGGGTGGGGGGGAGTGGCTTGGGAGATTGCCACTCTGTGTGCATACAAATTGTGCAATGCACAACTCCAGAGGGCACCATTTCTCTTGCAGTCTTTGTAGATTTGTATAGGGTTTTGAGGAAGGGGCGCCTTTTAGTCATTCATCCAGTGTTGCTATTTGGGGTTGGCTAGGCCCTTTGTGTGATCCTGTTGATGCCTGTGTTCCTCACCCTTGCCTCAATCCTGCTGATTGGAAGGTCCACCAGGGTGACATTTGGAGCAGGGACCCATCTCCTAGGTTCTCTCTCAGGTCCCCTGGTACTCCCCCCCCCCCCCCCCCCCCAACAATTCTGCTTGAAGCTGGCTTCAGGATAAGGCTCCTGCCCAGGCATAATCGGTGACCCACTGTGGATTTTTTTTTATTTTATTATTATTACAGTGGGGCCTTGACTTAGGAGTTTAATTCGTTCCAAGACCGAGCTCGTTAAGGAGCTCGTTAACTCAAATTACTCTATCAACTCAATGTAAAAAATCGGCTGAGAGACAGCTGGTATCTCAAAAAAACTCGTTAGTCGGGACACTCGTAAGTCAAGGCCCCACTGTATTATTATTTTGCCTAGAAAGCTGCAGGGGCAGCCAAGCTGAAATGCAAATCAGAGACCCTCTTCCTGCTTCCTCTTCCAGAACAGGGGTCTTTCAGTCTCACGGGGATTGCACCCTCTCCTACTTGGTGCAAGTGTAGACTGTCCAGGTGATAGGAGGAAGAAAGCAACTGGAAGCTGGAACTGTAGGACAGAACCAAAAGTTGCAAACTGTCGGCACCTACTGGCAACCATCAAGACTGCAGAAGGCCTGGCGAGTTCTGGCCAGGGGCAAGAGTCTAGGAGTCTCCATTGTAATTGAAAAATAAATTTTTTTTTTAATAAAAAGCCCTAGCTGGTTTGGCTCAGTGGATAGAGCGTCCATCTATTGAAGAGTCCCAGGTTTGATTCCGGCCAAGGGCACATGCCTGGGTTGCAGGCTGAATCCCCAGTTGGGGGTGTGCAGGAGGCAGCCGATCAATGATTCTTTCCCATCATTGATGTTTCTATCTCTCCCTCCCTCTACCCTCCTCTCTGAAATCAATAAAAATATATTTTTTTAAAAAATGTTCTAGGATTCTCTCCATGCCATTTCACAGACCAACTGGGGTCTTTTGTGTCCCAGAGTCAGGTCCCTCAAGTCCTGGGGGGAAGCCCAGCCTGTCCCTGATTCAGAAAACTGCCCTAAGCCCTGTTCCCTTCCTACATCATACTGGGCCCAGTTCTGCCATCAACTTATTGTATGAACTTGGACACCAGCCTCCTGGAGCTTGAAAGTCCTGTAAAATAAAGACAGGCCACTTCCACTTACTCTACCTCTTAAGCTCTTATGAGAATAAAATGGGACCAGAAGGGATGGTTCTGATCTCAATGCCAGACTTGTCCTCTAGACAGCAAAGGTGCTGGGAAAGATAGCGCTGCCGAACATGAGGAAGGCCTGCAGGAGAGACTGGAGCGAGCCCAGAGAAATGCCTGGGGATGAAGCATGAGTGTAGATGAGTGTGGGGAACTGGAAAGGTTTCAGGTGAGACAGATGTTCACACCTCTACCCCAGCACCACCCCTCAATCCATCCTCTGATGCCCATCACTGTCTGGGATAATTCCAAGGAGGCAGGAAAATGGCCATGAGACTTTCCGATCACCTCCCATCATTCATGCAACACATATTTATGAAACAGCCATTGTGCACGGACTTTGTGCTATATTCAGGATGTACAGGGGACTCAGAGATGGCCACGATCACTCCTTGCTCTCAAGGAGCTCAGTGCCTAGTGAAGGGAGACAGGTACATAAATAAAATAAGTTTAAGAAGTGTGCAGGTGCCCTGGGGGCATTTCTGTGGGGCACGATGGGGACCCAGAGGCACAAGTGGTTAGTTCCACATCCAGGACATGGAGAGACTTCACGGAAGAGATGAACTTGAGCCAAGGTGACATGGTCTTCCATGTTAGCATAAGGTGACCTGGATTCTAATCCCAGCTTTGCCACTGGACTCACTGGGGAACCTAAAACAAGTTACTTATGCTCTCTGAGCATCACAGTCCTAACCTGGAAGATGGGACTTTGCAATAAGAGAGAAAGAAGGGTGGAGAGGGGAGAGAAATAGTGGCCTGGGCAAGTTACCCAGCACACAGTAGGCACTGAGTGTTTGTTCTCTCTTACCCCTCTCTTCTGGAAACTCTAACTTCTCCAGAGATCCCTTGGTAACAGGACTTGTGTCTCCCCCACTGGACTAAAAGCTCCTGGAGGACTGGTTTCGTGTCTCTCCCCCACCCAGGCCTGCTGGTGTCTGGGAGATGTTGATACAAGGGCTATGGGATTTGGAGTCACAGGACCTAGGGTCAAGGTGCATATGCTGGACATGGTTCTGAGTGCTTCACTCATATGCACGTCACAACAACCTCGTGGAGTAAGTGTTTTTTAAGATGGAGAAATGGAGACACAGAGAAGTATGTAAGTTAACTCAAGGTCACACAGCAAGTAAGTGGAAGAGCAGGGATGGGAACCCAGGCAGAGTCTGTAACTAACCTCTATGTTTTACTGCCTTCCAAAATAACTGTCATAAGCATTCCAAACAAATGCCCAGGATGAAAGACTATGGTACAGAGTGCAAGCTGGCTGTAGGGGGTCAGAGCAGAGGTAGCATTAGTGTGAAGGACTGGGTCCCAGGCCTCCCCATAACTTTGGCTTCCCAGCCCCTCCCTGGCTTCCCTGGACTGCCCCCTGTGCCCACACTGAGTAGGGACCTCAGCTTCCCTCCATGTCAGCTGATATGTAGGCCCCAGGTATTGCATCCTCCACAGGTGTGTGGGCTGGACAGTGACACATTAGTACAGGGCCCCACTCTTGGAGAGACCATATCAGGAGAGTGAGGATCTCCACAGAGACCCATAGAGGAACTCTGGTTCAGAGGACAGAGCCTGAACCCTTAGGACGTTCAGCTCAAGAAGTGGACACCCAGGCAGGGGAAGGGGGGGAGAGGAGAGTCCATCTGCAGTTGGGTTGGCCAGGATCCAGTTTCATATCTCCAGTCCCGCCAGCTCTGCTCCTTGCCAGCTTTGTGGCCACTTCCCCTTCCTGAGCTTCCGTCTTACCATCTGTAAACTAGGGGAGGGGAACTCACTGAATTGTGAAGATCCTTCCAGCTTGGGCAGTTGAGGAATCTAGGTCTTCTGGAGTCCTTTTGCATGGTCCTAGGCCCCAAACCAAGATGTGGAGTAAGGAGACTGTCAGACAGAAAACAAATTTGTATAACTACTTGGAAACAACCACCCATTCCACCCCCAGGTATACACCCAATAGAAATGTGTGTGTGTGTGTGTGTGTGTTTAAAAACAGGCAAAACTAATTTATGATTTTAGAAATCAGTATAAAGGTTACTCTTAAGGAAAAGGGTGGGAGTCGTTACTGAAAGGGGTCTTATGGGATACAGGTAATGTTTACATTTAGTTACATAGCATATTCACATAAGTGAACATTCATTAAGCTAAATATTACTTATTTCTGTACTTTTCTGTATGTTATACTTTAATTTTTTAAAGAAAAAACTTTTGGGTTTATTTTTTAACGAGTGCTGGCTCTTATGTTTGCTCTCAAATCAGCCTGCCTGGACTAGACTCCTGGCAGTAGATTTAGGACAGGTTAGCACACTCCCTGTGCCTGAGTATCCTCATCTTTCATTTAAGTGACTATTATATAGGATGCCTGTAATGATTAAATGAATGAATCTGTATAAAATGCTTACGATGATCCCTGCTACATATTAAGTGCCCAATAAGTGTTAGTTATTAGCCATAATCAGAAAAGTGAGATTAAGAGCCCAGAGTCAAAATGCCTG